GGTCTGCATGGTGTGTGGGAGAGATAACCATGTAGATATATTCCTTCAAAACAATTATAATTGGTTTGAATAATGGATTAAATCTGCAATTTTCTTCTAATTCCGTAATTTATTTATTTTTAATATTTATATTGATTTATTTGTGATTTTCACAAGGCTTAATTAGTGTTGGTCATTCTCTGTATATTTTCTTCTGGGATCAAAGTTCCACTGCATTCTCTATTTGCAGGTAACTTGCCAAACTCTAGAATGTTCAAAAGGTAGATAAAATTGATGATGAATATTAATGGACATGCTACAGTACAGTCCAGTTACGGAAACCATTCCGTCGGGATTTGTAACCGTTAAATCATCATGTAACCGTCGTGAATAGTTGATCTAACGGTTATAAACTTCGACAAAATTACTTCGTAACGGCACCGTAGCATCTCCCGTATATTAATACTAATATAATAGAAATTTTTCGAGATGCAATTCATTATAATATAATATAAAAAACACCTCATGAAAATATGCATATTGATGTGCTATACTAATTAGTAAAAACTATTAGTTGTATATTGATAATTAAAAGAAACAATTCTCCATTTTTTAATCACCTTTACATTAAGTTGTTTGTTTTTCCGAATAAAATCAAGGGCTCAGCTCGAGCTTGTTTATGATAACATTTTTTTTATTAGAATTGTGATCGGATATAATTGCTTTATACAAAATTTTCTATTTATTTTATTTTATAACCAAATACAAGAAAATGTTGAAAATTTGAATTGAATTTGTAGTACGTTGACCAACACCACACACAGTCAACTCCTCCTACGTGTCATCTCCAATATACACACACACACACAGAGAGACTGTACGCAGCCTGTGGTTACTGGCTAGACACTGTTCTCCATGATTCTTTCTTCACTTTTCTTCTCATTTTCAGGATCATCTCATAAAACAAAGGTATGTTCAAAGGTTTCTTCAAATGGGTTAATGGGTAGATTCGTTTTTCTTGTATATATTTCGATCTCCAACCATTCCTTGTTAGATTTCTTGAACTGGGAGGTTTATAAATCTGAAAAAAATTGGATCTTTAATTTGAGAAGGGAAAACAAAAAAGAATCTGTATCGATCTGTGTGAAACCCCTTTTCGTTCTCTTTATGAAACATGGGAGATTCTTGCATGAATTTGTGGTGTAAAAGGTTTGAATTTTGTCGGGTTTAGTTTCGATTTGCCATTTGTGGTCTGTGTTAGGGGTTCGGTACGTTTTTTTTGTTTTTGTTTTATTTTTTAAGTTTCATCTTTGCGCATGCTTAAATTGGGCTGAAAGGGAACATATGCAGCTTGTTGTTTTTGTAAGATTTTATGAGATCAGAGCATAGCTTTTTAGCATTCTATGTTGTTTGATAATTAGAAGAACAAATTGGCTTAGGTTTTGGTTTTGGAACCAGTTTGAATTAAATTGAGTATGCATCAGCAATTGCCTCAGTCGAAAATAAACGAATAAGAAAAAAGAAAGGAACTCGAAAATTCTGCATTTGATATGTTATTAATTTGTTAGGTTACGGTGAAATGGAGATCGGCCGAGATTTCATGGAGGCCTTTAGTGCTGATATAACATTTAACATCCTCAAACTGTTAAATGATTCATCTGATATCATAAGGGCTAGTGCTGTTTCACGATCTTGGCGCCATTTCGGTTAGCCTTTTTAATTTTTTTTTATTGACTCGTGCACATGTTTTTTCATGGTTTCATGTTAACATTTATTCTTATTCAATTTATTGATTTGTTTTGCATGCGTGCTTTTGTTTTCTCTCGTTGTAATGACAAATCAACTGGTCAATGGATCGTCATTAATTGCATTACATTGCATCGTGCCAAGCCACGTGTAGTGTATGAGATATTTTGTTCGTTATCACCTAGATAACTTTTGTGATAGTAACTTGTTGTAATATTGATTTTTATCATTAAATTCAGAAGTCTTGTATCTTAAATTTTTGGTTTTACGGTTTAGCTTTCTCCAGTTTGCTAGTTTGCTGCCTTTGTCCGAACGGTATCATGGTATCATTCAAATGATTTCATTTCAACGTTTTATTCCAATTTTAATAAACATTACATTGTGCTGGAAAGTTTTTTACGAAATTTGTGAAGGTGCGCATGCAAAAAGTTACCATTAACCTCAAGAAAGGGGTTATTTTCGTGATCCCTCGTTAATATATACAGGGCATTCAGAATTTTATTTTACTAGATTTGTTTGCTTACCAAATTTACCATGTTGGTTATGGTGATCCTGTAACATATATTGTTATACATTGATATCCCAAATAGTAATGTTTAATCTATCTCTCCACATGTCGACATTAATATGCTCTGTAGATGAAACTTGTCCTTGATCTCAACCAATTTTCCCGGTTCAGACAATCTGGAATTGTTGTCCTTTTTCTTTTACCTTTTATATTTCCTTCGCATCATTTAGCTGTCAATATGGCATTGAACATCGTAACAGACCAAACCCCATTGGATATGTGTTCTCATTCTAGGATTTTTCCTTTTCTGTATAATTTGTAAATTTTCTTTTGCACCCGACAGACAAAAA